GTTTTTTTTAAAGTTTATTTAATTTGAGAGAGACAGAGACAGTGTGAGTGGGGGAGGGGCAGAGAGGGAGGGAGAGAGAATCCTAAGTAGGCTCCATGCTATCAGCACAGAGCCCACTGTGGAGCTCAATCCCATAAAACTGTTAAGATCATGATCTGAACCAAAATCAAGAGTCAGATGCTTAATCTACTGAGCCCTCCTAGGTATCCCCTTTTTTTCTTTTCTTTTCTTTTTTTAAGTTTATTTATTTATTTTGAGAGAGAGAGAGGGAAAAGGTGAGAGAGAATCCCAAGGAGGCTCTACACTGTCAGTGCAGAGCCAGACATGGGGCTCAAACTCAAGAACCATGAGATCATGACCAAAAGAGTCAGAAGCTTAACTGATTGAGTCACCCAGGTGCCCCCGAAAGAGTTTTTATTTTTATTTATTTAAATATTTTTAAATATTTTAATTTTTTACATAATCTCTATACCCAGCATAGGGCTCAAACTCACAACCCTGAGATCAACGAGTTGCATGCTCCACTGACTGAGCCAGCCAGGCACCCCAAAAAGTATTCTTAAGATTTCCAAGAGAAATCAAATTAAAATACTTAATTGATATGAAACTTTATTTATTTTTTAATGTTTTTATTTATTTCTAGGAGAGAGAGACACAGCGTGAGCAGGGGCGGGTCAGAGAGAGAGGGAGTCACAGACTGAAACAGGCTCCAGGCTCTGAGCTGGCAGTCAGCACAGAGCCCGACGCGGGGCTCGAACCCATGAACCGCGAAATCATGACCTAAGCGAAAGTCAGATGCTTAACCGACTAAGCCACCCAGGCACCCCGATATGAATCTTTAAAGTAAATTTGCGACAAATTAAATTTGCTAATGATTTTAGCTGTATACATTTTTTAGAATGTATTTATAAATATATTTAGTGTGACATGCAGTAACGTATGTTATATAAGTTAGAAATGTGTGAGAAAATTTACTTCTTTGGCTTTTAAATCAATTTCAAATAGACAAAGCTTCTTTCTTTTTTTATTTAGTGGAAAAATCGGTTGTCTAATACGATGAAGAGGTTAATCAGTGACCGTTTCTGCTTTATGTATCAGCCTAGAGGGAGAGATTCAACAAAATAAGAAATAGAACCAAGGGAATGGTGTCCATTAAGCCAGTGATTCATCCTTCGTGACTAGTACTTGATCTGGCTTGAGTTTGTGCAAGATGTTGGAATGTATTTCTTAGCATTAAAATATCCTATTTTAATATCTTTGATTTATAGCCGTACGGGACTTTGAAGCTCATTTCTTAGCAGCGTTGCAGAATAAAGGGTCTAGATGGTCTATTTCATTTATAAGAGAAACATAATACAGTGTCAATCAATTGTGAACTTTTACAATTAAAAAAACAAAATGCAAAGGATTTGGAATTTTGACTCTTAAATTGGTCGAGCCTTCAAACGTACATGTTCGTTTGTGAAAGTTCTCGTTTTCCCCAAGTCTTACTTACAGTCAGATGTTCCTATAATAATGCAACACCACATTTTACAGTGTAGTGACACTAGACGGAGACTATTTTACAGCCGTGAAGTTTGTCTTTTTTCCGTTTCCACGGCACAGTGCCTGATGGGAGGGTTGTCTGGGGGCAGGGCGGTCAGAAGCAGGGACTGACCAACTGTTGGCTCCTTTCAGTCCTGTTAGAGTATCCGACAGCCCATAAGGGGGATGTGTCAACGATTCATGAGCCAGAGTACTGATTTTATGTTTCCAGACTGCGAGCACAGGGGAGGAAGCGTCTCGATACAGGTGTTTCCAGAGCCTGCCTTTTCAGACAGGTGCATGACGAAAGTAGGCACGGGACGCCCCAGGTGAGGGTTCCGTGTTGTGATCGGGACTTGCTCTTCAGTATGACAGCGTGTGGTGCTGTCCCCGGGTTGTGTGCGCTGGGCTTAGAGGCAGCCCTAGCTGTGGCACGTCTCCTCTCCAACAGTGGATCAGATGAGGAGGCTTGTTTTAAAGAATCTTGAAAACTGTAATAATTTCCACAAGAGGAGATTAATGTAGAACATCAAGATAATTGAAGTGCCGTGCTGCCATTCTCATTGCATGTCAGAGATGATCAGGATGCATTCGGGGTGCCTCGGGGGCTCAGTCGGCTAAGTGTCCAACTCTTGGTTTCAGCTCAGGTCAGGATCTCACGTTTTGTGAGTTTGAGCCCTGTGTTGGGCTCCACGCTGACAGTGCAGTCTCCTTGGGATTCTCTCTCTCCCTCTCTCTCTGCCACTGCCCCACTCACTCTCTCTGTATCTCTCAAAATGAATAAACAAACAAACAAAAAGATGATCATAATACATTCTATGCAAAAATAAGCATACAAAATAGAATTATAGTGTAATTTTTCTTGTAAAATATAACCCCCCACCAGAAACACAAACACCATGGGTGTGTGTGTGTGTGTGTGTGTGTGTGTAGTCTGAAAATAATAATTCTTTGGTCTAGAAAATACAGAATAACTTAAATACTGTATATTCAAATAGCTGAAGGTAGCTTGCTGAGATGTAAAGTTGGAGCTCTTGTGTTTGGTGATTCCTGTAGGTTTCATTTATTTTTACTCTCTATCCTTTGTGTTTATTGGTAGTATTGAGTATTTATTTTCAGAACTATTGTATCTTTTTCTGTGGGAAGAAATGAATGGCCACAGGTGGTTTTCATTTTTTTTAGCAGGAGGCAGGTGCACTGACAGCCTTTGAAACTCGAATGCTGTGTAATGTGCAGGTGCTCTTCTTGTTTATAGAAATTCCTAATCCTTGTTTGAAATTTATTAAACGGTGTGCCATCTGTAGCCCTCCCTAAATTCCACCGATTAATTAGCCTTTAAAATAAGGTTGCCTTTTATCTAATGTTAGTATAAACCCTTCCATCTGGGAACCTTCTCTTTCATGCACATGTTCTGGGTTCTGTATACGCCAGCCCTCTGGGATTAAGTATTAATTATGGAGCCTGGTGTTCTCCAGAACCCTGAAGAACACTAAGAATGACAGTAGACTGGACAAAGCGCCGGCATCCAGAGACTGGCTTGACGCAGTGAGTAACTGGCCACCACGGCCTGGCCGCCGCTGCCGGTGTGTGCGTGTGTGCATGGCGTCACATGCGCACGGCGTCACTGAGTGCCGCGGCTCTTCCTTAGGGAAGGGCCACTGATGATGGTTCTATAAATTAGCATTCCTAGGACACTTCAGTTAAAGGAAGGGGAAAAAAAAGAGAAAAACACCCTGTTTTGACATCTCCTGTAGTTTTTTTTTCCTGGTAGCTTCTAATTGAAAGTCTGTTGACAGTATTTGGCACAGAGAGATTGGCTTTGGCTCTTTTGTGGAGGTGTTGTATGGGGTTGGAAGTGTGTCGTTATCTTAAAAGAAATCAATATTAAGTTATTAAATTCTATGGACTGGTCTCCCTAAGTTATTGAACGCTACAGAGTGGAATGTTTATTTTTTTAAGTCAATTAGTCATTCAGTCATATGTGTACTTAAAATAATCAGTATAATATAATTTGGTGCTTTTTTATGGACTTAATTTTGCTGCCTCACCCTCTGCCTCAAATAAATTAGACTGATACTGTAACAAATAGGCTCCGTAAGTTCTCATTTAGAAAACATGACAAAAATCATTTTTCTCAGGAAGTTTTGAGATGGAGGATATTGTGGGTAGTAAGCAAAAATGTTTTCGGAATTATATAGTTTTGGCTTCTAACGTAGAAAATCTAGGTTGAGACAGAGCATTAACCCTAATGGAACAGTTGAGACCATCAGAGTCTTCAGCTGTATTTTCCAAATTATAAGGGCATGAGACATTCAGGAAAGATGGTTGAGCATAATCAGTGTGGCGGATCCTGAGAATTAGGTTGGTGGAGGAGACCGCGTTACAAATCGGAGTAAATGGTATGACTAAAAGAATGAATTCGGCATGTGTGGAGATTGGGGAGTAGCCTCAAATGGATTTGGGGTGTGGATCGAATAGTGGTTGGGTTAGGGCACAAGGTATGGATGCTTACGTAGGGGTGGTCACATTACGGAAGGCCTTGAGAACAGATGGCCAGCCATGGTGCAGGAAGAGTTTGGTTTTGCAATAGAACAGCAAGGTCGTTTTTGTTTTTGTTTTGGTGGGGTGAAGGGTCTTCCAGATGGTCGGCATGAAGAGATTGGACACTCTTCAATCAAGTAAATAGTGAAACTTCTTAGTAAATATTGTAAATTCAAGTAAATATTGAAAATACTTAGAAGCCTGCTGCAGGGGGTCTGCGGATGTGTGAGCGAGCGCCTGCGTTAGGAGGGGACCGCAGCTACAGAGGGAGCGAAGTAACACACACTGTCCCTGGAGAAACTCGGTCGTCAGCATGTCCTCAGTGCGTATTTAGTGAGTGAATCGGGCTGAGAGAGGGAGTAAATGTGGGAAATGAAGGAAAAGTAAGCCAATGGTCACTCCCTCCTAAGATCTCTTGAGAGGTATTTACAACTGAGAGAAGATGGGGAGATAAATGCAGAGAGGGAGAGATGGTGAGTTCAGTTTGTGCCTCCTGAGTTTGAGGCGGTTGTAACTTTGCCAGTAGAAGTGGCCTTGTGAGGAGTTAGATACGGGGTTCTGGAGAACAGTCAATTCAGGGCCCGAGTCTAAAGGTGTGTGGATGTATACATATATGTGTATGTCAGGGCACTTCTGAGTTCTGTTTCTTTTCTTTAATTTTTCTTTTTTTCCCTGAGTTTCTAAAGGGAAAATTGGAAGATCCATAAATGAGCCTGAGGAAACATCAGAAGAAATCATTTAACATTTAGGTTTCAGAAGGCCTTACTTAATCATTTGATTTCATTTTGCTTAGTTGAATAATATTTTTTAAAACCTGTTTTAAAGCAACCAGTAACCTATGTTTTGAACAGTTTTGTTAAAAATAATTTAAAAATCCGTATGTTTCGATTTGATTCTAAAATTGGAATATTTCGATTCGTTGTAACTCTTCCTAGATCGCTGTGCTGAGGAGACAGCAACGTATGATAAAAAATCGAGAGTCCGCTTGTCAGTCCCGCAAGAAGAAGAAAGAATATATGCTTGGCTTGGAGGCCAGGTTAAAGGCCGCCCTCTCGGAGAACGAGAAGCTCAAGAAAGAGAACGGCTCGCTGAAGAGGCAGCTGGACGAGGTGGTGTCAGAGGTGAGGCCGGCGACGCGGCCCCGATGGGGTGGGTTCGAACATTCCTCCTTCCCGAGAAACCGTTGGAAATGGTACATTTTAAATCATGCAAAATAAAGGTACTCTTTAGGAAAAAGAGGGCACGGTAAGCGCTCGAGCCTTTGTAGGCAGAAGAAAGCCTTGGGAAGAGGAGCCTGTGAATGTTCCTCCCAGTCTACGTTCTAAAGCCGTAGTTCCCGGGGAGCCCTCTCTTTCTGACTAAATTGCCGCGAGGACCCTAAGTAGTCCTGCCAGGTCTCTCCTTTAAAAAAGAAAACACAAAATAAAACATTTTAAGTCTCTTCTCTGTCCCCTTGACCCCCATTATGTCTTTGGCATGTTGTTGCCCTGCTGGTCCCGATAAGGTCAACCTTCTTCTTGACTCTGTTCATGAAGCTTCAGGATGTCCCACTGCAGCGCGGGCCTGAACCCACTGGATGCCTGTGCCCAGCGAGGGGGGTTCTTCAGGGCTCTGTCTTGCCCTGAGCACATGGGACTGTTCCATCATGTGAAGAGATTTAAGAGACAGGGAAGAAAACTACAGATGTATTTGAAAATTCTTTGAAAACCCATAGAAGTGTTAAATTGTTGAATTTTTTCCTTCGAGGGGAAGAGGGGAGGAGAGGAAAGTACAGCAGTGGCCTCTGGGTTTCTTCTCTCTTCTCCTTTTTCTCTGCTGCAGTTAGGGAACTCGGAGGCTGTGCTCTCGTCTTGTGAAAAGTTACATTTCCTCACCTTTGAGGGTTCTTTCTCTTGAACTATTCTTAAAACTGGTGAAGAGGAGTGTGTTTATCTGAGCTGTTGCTTTTTTGTGAGATTAGTGTGTAGTTTAACTGTATTTAACATGGTTATTTCTCCTAGAACCAGAGGCTTAAAGTTCCTAATCCGAAACGAAGAGCTATCTGTGTGATGGTGGTGTTGGCATTTATAGTCCTCAACTATGGGCCTATGAGGTGAGTGTGTAGCTACTTATTTTGGATATAAATGCTAAAAACTTTAGTTCTCCTTATTTTCACCTCTAGTCATAAGCTAGGGGAACCAGATTTCTTTTGTTCTCCTCAGAGACAATATTTAGGTAAGAAGAAAGGAGAAGAAGGATTGGCTTCTCTTCCTTGTTCTTCACCTAGGCCTGGTGGAAAATTCATGTCATTTCATGAAGAAAACTTTAAGTTATTAAACAGATCAGTGGTGAGGAAGAGTTAGAGCCCTGTGTGGGCTCAAAAATTTAGTGAGAGGAGTGGCATTATTTTATTTATATTTGGCAAAAATCTTAAGCGAAGGCAGCTCTATTCTTATTATCTGTTTCTTCCTGCAGTCTGTTGTGATAAATTGTTTTGGTTGAAATAAATGAAGAAAATCTAGATTCACATAGGTATGTAGTTGAAAAGGGGAGAACCGTGCTGACCCTTTGAAAGAATCTTGGGATCCTCAGGGCTCCTTGGGCCACTTGGAACCCCATGCTTCACAGAACTGCCGCCATAATTTATTTCCCCACTCCACTGTGCTCCTGTAATGGGCATGGAGTTGTTTTGAGTTCTTCAAATATATATATTACATACATAGTAAATAACATGTTAAATACATAAATATTTATGTTCACATATAAAAATACAGATATGTAAAACATATATAACACATATTCATATATATATAGAGAGAGAGTGTGTATTGTGGGTGTATATTTATTAGAATCTAAGTCGGTTGGAATTAGAAATTGTGATGGAGTCTGCCAGATTACCTCAAGTGCTCTGTGCTCATTTCTTATGTAGGCTATTATATAAGGTACTTATTTATTCATTCAGTCAGATGTATGGCATTTATTTATAGAGTACTTACTATTTGCTGGGTAGTGAGCAAGGAGCCGGGGATGCAAACATGGATGGAAGTGCAGACTGGTAAGAGGATGTGTGAACAACTGTAGCGTGGGGAAAACTTACGTAGATGTCATAGAGATGTGGACATACCTTTGGAGGGATACGGAAGTACCCAGTAACTCTGAAAATGGCAGTCTTGGAGGCTTTGTGCAGTAGCATTCGATGAACAGTAAAGATGGGGTTGGGGATATGTGTTGTGTAAGCCCTCATGAGTAAATAGATACTTGGGGGGGAAAAAGACAAGTTTGTTTATTTTTTTAAATGCTTATTTAGAGAGAGTGAGGGCTTGTACATGTGCACACAGGAACAGGGGAGGGGCAGAGGGAGGGAGAGAATCCCCAGCAGGTTCCACGCCCAGCACAGAGCTTGATGCGGGCTCAATCTCACAGCTGTGAGATCATGACCTGAGCTGAAATCAAGTCACGTTTAGTCGACTGAGTCACCCTGGTGCCCCTTATTTATTTGTTTTTGAGAAGAGAGAGTGTGCGCACATGCACACATGCATGTGCAAACGAGCAGGGGAGGGGCCGAGAGAGGGGGGAGAATCCCAAGCATGGCCTGCAGTGTCGGCACAGCGCCCAACGCAGGGCTCTGTCCCACGAACCGGGAGGTCATGACCTGAGCCGGTATCAAGAGTCGAATGCTGAAATCAAGTCACGTTTAGTCGACTGAGCCACCCAGGTGCCCCAAAGACAAAGACAAAATGTTTTCTTAATGAATTAATGATTTTTACATCTGCTGAAGATGAAGAGGGTGTGTGGGGATGGATCTCATTTATGAGAACAGATGGATCGATTGATTTTGGGAGGAGGAGACAATGGTCCCATTTTATCGAGAAAGTTTTGTGTCCAAAAAATGAGATGGACCGTAGAAACAGCGGAATGGAGAGTGGGAGGAAGCTTAAATAGTTGAACCTCCTGGGGAACAGCCAGAGCAGGTCTGAGTCCGTTCTTGGTGGCGGCTTCAGGAGCCAAGGAGTCCTGGGCAGATTGAGGAAATGTTCAAGCTTAAAAAACATGCTGTAAAAGGCTCAGATTGAAGAAAAGCAACAAAGGGCTGGAAGGAATGAAGAAATACCAGAGTATCTTAATGGGTTGGGATTTGTCCAGACACCAAGAAGAAAACAGAAAAGAAACTGGCTATGAAACTCATAAAAACCAGGAACTATTTCTTCTAGAGAAAATTTGGTAAAGTATCAAAGCTGAGGGGGCAGCACGAGGGGTCTGAAAGACTGACGCCCCCCCTTAACCCCCCATGTTGGCAGTGGTGCTTCTCACGTCTGATACCGAGAAGCCTACTTGATTGACCCTGTTCTCTACAGGCTGTTCGCTTCAGGACTGAAGATCTTCTCAGGCTTGGGAATCTCCCAGAGGAGCACAGGCTCCCCAGTTGAGCCTTATTAGTACCACCTGGAATATATGCATTTATTTATTTATTAAAAATTTTTTAAAAATTTTAAGTTTATTTATGAGGGATAGAGATAGCATGAGCTCCCCGCAGAGAGAGCAGAGAGGGGGCAGAGAGAGGGAGACACAGAATCCGAAGCAGGCTCCAGGCTCCTAGCTGTCAGCACAGAGCCTGACGCGGGGCTCACTAACTGTGAGATCATGACCTGAGCCGAGGTCGGACAGAGAGCAGAGAGGGGCAGAGAGAGGGAGACACAGACTTTTAACCGACTGAACCATGCAGGCGCCCCTGGAATATATTTATTGACTAACTTCCACATTCATGGCCTTGTATATCTAGGCCTAAGGTTTACCTTAAGCATTATTGTGTTGTAACGGGTACAGAAAAATACAGGTGATGAGTTCTAACTGAGCTTTTCTCAAGTCCCACAAAACTACGTCTGGCCAGATAAATAGACATTTTAATGAGAGACTTCCAAATCATTTTAAGTTTAGGAAACTGAACTCTTTGAGAACGGAACACATTTCCATAATGTTGTCAGTGTTGCTTCAGATGTTCAGTGTAGCATTGAACTTCTGTGCTGTATTGGTATGGGTCCAAGCGAAAATCTGTAACACACAAGCTTGCTGAACGTAAGTATGCGTTAAGAAGCCTTTCCTGAAGGCACTCGGTGATGAAATGTAAATACATCTCACATCTAAAGTAAGAGTGTTGTGCACCAAAACGGACTCGTTTGAAGCGTTTTAGGTTACTGGGTAGTCATCACACAGAAAAAGAAAATAAACCGAACAGACTTAAAAGGGTTACTTTTTCTGACCCTGTTGATGTTGTGTGGATGGTAAAGACGGCATCTAGCTGTTTCTGGCACACGACCGATTCAGAGAGCTGGGCCATTCTGGGTGGTCCATGAAAATAGCAGCTCTGGGCAGCAGGGAATCGCTAACCTGGACCAGTGTGCGTTGCTAGGAAACCCTCTTCTTACTGCTCATTGTGGTTGAGTCTGGGTTCATTAGTCCTATTTTACTTTTTACGTGTTTTTTAAATGTTTATGTAGTTTTGAGGGAGAGAGAGAGAGACAGAGTGTGAGCAGGGGAGGGGCAGAGAGAGACAGAGACCCAGAACCTGAAGCAGGCTCCAGGCTCTGAGTTGTCAGCACAGAGGCCTGAGGTGGGGCTCGAACTCACGAACCTTGAGATCATGGCCTAACCCAAAGTCGGACGCTTAACTGACCAAGCCACCCAGGTGCCCTACATTAGTCCTATTTTGTAGTTGAAGGGCTGGAAATTGAACCAAGTTCTCTTTTGAAAAATTATCATAGAAAACTCTGCCTTCTCTACTATGCCGTAAAGTGTTTTTTTTTTTTTTCCTACCACTGTCCAAAAAACCTTAAGGACTTCTGTTTTGGCTAATATTGTGGTACGGAGGAACTCTTGGAAGTTCAATATACCAGAAAATGCTGGATTAAAAAATCAAAACTCTCATGTAATGGCTGAACTGAAGACAAAGTGAGGCCTTCTCAGAGGTCAGAAATTTTAAGATAACATGAATCCACTGATAAGCTAGCACTGGAAATGGTGCTTGTCCTAGAGTTATTTCCTGATCCTTTTGGCCTAGAGTCTGGCAACAGGAAAGAAAGCTCTGGGCTTCTAAAGAAAGTAGGAAGTCACAACTGAGCCTCATACCCCCTTCCCAAACCCAAATAAAGCTGGAACTTCCAAAAAATGACATCTTAGTTGCTAAAAGAGGGAGAAAAAGTAGATTGTTCTACCACAGAGGGAGAGTGTTGGTAAGTACCTATCTTGATACTGGCATTGAGTAGAGTGGAAATAAAGAAAGAAGTCTCCCTGAGAATTCATTATCACAAGCTTAACTCATACAGGTTTGAGCCTGAATTTATACTACTGTTGCGATGCCCCAAAAAACCAAAGCACAAATTTAGTTTAAGTGGCTGTGTGTTGGTACTGCTAGGCTCCTGGCAGGTACAAATGCAGACCCTTCTCAGAGGAAGGCACTTTAAACATCCATCCTGGAAAAATTGCTGCAGATACAGATGTAGTTGAACATGAGCCAACATCCCATCTCCTCCCCCAGCTCATTAAACCAGCTCGGAACCCAGCCACTGCGAACAAGAGTTAGTGACTGAGTCAGACGCTGAAGACTACAGGTATTTGAATCAACACATACAAGATGCTAATATGTTAAATAAAAAAGAGAGTTAAAGAAAGACAAAGAAACCAAAGACTCAGAATTGATCCGGACATTTTGGAAAAAAGTCTAGAAGTGTGATCTTATTAAGAAGTTCAAAATAGAAAAACAATGACCAGGTTAAAACAACAAAATAGGCACCTACGAAGAAAGAAATGGTGAATGGGAACACAGGGCTGACGGAAAACAGCGGAACAGAGAGATGAGATGGAAGACATGACCGGTACCAAGGGACATGAGGTTATGCCGCCATGGCCATGTAATCAGAGTAGCACCAGTATGGAGACTTGCAGGCTCTTTGACGTGCCGAGGTGATACCCTGAGAAGCCTACGGGATCACTCACGTGATATTCTGGCCAGGAATGGATACCGTTAATTTTATCATGGTAAAAACACCAGCTAAATCCACACAGAGAGGATAACGTATAAAATAAACAGCCTACAATCTTAAGAAGTGTCAGGGTATT